GTACTGTACATACACGTAACATGTACATGTTACTACCGGTACAGTATTCATGCTTCTAATAAGTGGGCTTTTATTTAACTTGAAGGTACATACATTGTACATGCACCCGGATACATGTATGTGCATGGAGGCCATCTTGGGAAAAAATCTGAAAAAAGAAGAGAGAGAAAATGGCCGCCTTTCTCTGAAAAAATGATAAAAAAAAAGAAAAAGATTTACCTTCCGGTAACCTTACCATGGTTTCATCTGTTTGACTTGACCAGTCAGCAAAATGTGTGAATGCAAGCCAGGAATGGTGTTTGGTGTCACAAATATTGCTGTGTATTAAAACACCTGTCACAATCACCATTTACTATACGTACATGTACGGGCATGAATGATGCCTGAGCACTCTTAACGTGTGTTTCAATAGCCATTAATCTTTAACAGGCTGGCGGGCGGTCTTGCAAATGTTGAAGTGGCTTGGAGGGCACTGTAGGGCAAGGGTCAAAACAAAAGGATAATTTGGACCTATTGATAATGTATGTTTAATGTACCGTACACAGTGTGTACATACATGGATTCAGCACACAATTAGCCTACATGTACAATGCAGTTCAGCGGTAACAAATTACGGTATGAGTGACAGGACATGGCTGTAATTGAAGGCCACTAGGGCTGTATCATATGGTAGGTACATGTAGACCACCATGGCTACCATGTGGCCATGCTCCAGTTTGTGCATGTAGCTTTCATGTGAAGAGGCTATTGGCTTGTGCACATTAAGACGAAAACGGATCTCGTGCACTCTGGGGAATGTGCGTGTAAGCCAGTGCATATTGCATGTAATGTATGTGTACACACATTCTGATACATGTACATGTAGTTTATACATGTATACATGTACGTGTAATGTACCGGTATTAATAATTACTATTTACTACACTCTATAAAGCTTTTGTAAATAACATTTGCATGCTGCAGATCTTTGATCTAATTACAGTTGATATGTGTTGCAATATCTTCATAATGTGCACATGTAAATGTCAGCTGCATAATGTTCATTCCATGGACATGCACTGTACATGTAGATGTGGAGTTATTTTTCTTTTTGGTTGAATTCTCAACTGGCTAAGTTTAAACCTACATGTGCAGGTATGAACTGGTGTGCATGTACATACATACATTTACTAGTTCATGGAGAGGCAGTGCTCATTGGAGTTCCTCATTACTGAGTGCATCGTTCCCGGTCAGACAAGGAGACAGATGGACTGACAGACGGTGAAATGCTGTTACCATCACGAAAACACCGGGCCGAGGAGGACAATTAACTCAATAAAACTCGGGCTGCATTTCCATGCCTGATGAATCTGGCTTTTAAGCCGTTCCTCGGCAGCCACTGCCGAGACCCCCGAGTCTTTACTCTCCCCTAATATTTTCCTGGGCATTGTGTTCTTGATTCATCTTAACCCAATTTGTCGTCCGCCTAATAGCGGCAGACAGCGTTGGAAGCGAAGCTGTGAAGACATACAGTACTAGCCTTCGTTTCGGGTTTCCTCCGAGCAGATGAGATCTATCACTTGGCCCATCTTCCTCTCCTCTCCTTTTAATACCAGACAGAATACATGTCGTGGTGTCATTGAATGGGGACTGGTAAGGGAATGGCTCCTCAGCTTCTGAAATTTCGTTGGATGATGTGTGCCACAAAGAGGCTTCCTTGTGCATGTACATGTAGTTTTTATTGGCCCACTTGAAATGAATACGCATCTGAATATGAATTTGTACCAGTGTACACGTACATGTAGCTGACAAGTACATGTAAGCCTTGATGTGTCATGCTGTTTCTTTGCGTTCATGTCGCGGTGTCACAACTGCTCTGGATTTTACCCAGCACAGATGTTTATAAAATCTGGGTTTAACCTCCTCCCCTACAGACACGGAAAGTAATAATTACTACATGTATAGTTTACTAATGATGAAAATGCCCAAATAAAATTCCTACATGTATTACACGTATATGTACATTATTCAACTGCATGTACCAGTATTTAGTATACCAGGGCACAGGAATTAGAGAATTACATACAAATGTATCCATTCTGCACTAGAAATTGCCAGAATGATACACCAACCTTAATCTGAATGAGACAAAAAATGAGTACATGTACATGTGTGTAGTTTAGTAAGTCAGAAGGCTCGGGCAACACTGACAGACTTTGCAGACAGATGTAAATGTTGGGCCCAAACCATCCAGGGTTAGTGTACACTGTACTGTGCAAATCATGTAGAGTCTTGTTTGAAATGAGTTTCACACCTCGTTAGGTTTTATCAGGGCAGTAAATGTTATTTCGTAAAGCTGGCTTTCTATCTGACATACATGTAGTATGCAAGATTGAATGGGCAAGACGGTGCTTGAACTGGCTCCCTTTTCCTTTTGTTTCAACACTCAGGGTTGGACAGGCAGGGTACCAGACATACGTAGCATGAAACCTTTTTAATTTTTAATTATCCTAGCATTTTTTTTCTTCTCAGGTATTTGAAAACAGCCCCGGCCACGAGATTATAGATAAATTTGGGGACGTTCTGCAGTTCTCCAATCACGTCGCTCGACTCTTTGTGACGGAGATACGACGCAAGGCATCCGACCAATCAACAGGTGGGTTGGTAACAAGGTTACAGCTGGCTGCATGTTGCACAATGCGCATGGTGGCCCCAACAAGTACCGGTAGCCAGTATTGCATGACTAGGTGAAGCTTTTTTCGATGTTTCGGTTGTGCCCAATATTAACAATTAAGCATATTCATTATTCATTAGTCATATTCATTATTTTAGCAGTTTCTAATCAATTGCCACTATACTAATTCACCTGTTATTTTTAAATGTCCATATATGTACCTGAAAGTCATTAAAATGTACATGTACATGCAACTGGATTTTATGTTATGGACCCAGGACATGACATGCACTGTGTACAGTAATTTTTTGTTTCGTTTTTGGGGCGGGGACGTTTTGCTCTTTTTTTTTCTTATAGGAACTCATGCTATTTTTGATCAAGGAAAATGTCATTGGGTTGAATTTTGGGGAATTCATATTGTTCTTGAGCAGGAACCTGTTTTGAGGGGGATCCATGGAACTCACAAGTCCATGTGTTACCCTGAACAGAGTCGAAACACCCCAGCAGAAATAGGCAAGAAAACTCTACATGTACAGTGTACAAACATGGTTGGTGGTTTTAATGCTCATATCTGTTGGAAATAGCTTAAAAAAATGATTCAAAGAAATTGAAGCATTATCACAAAATGCAGCATCATGTGTAATACAAAAGTAGCAAGGAGGAAATGCTTTCATCTGGGAGTCATTTGAAAGGTAACCTCTCAAAGTTCCTCTCAAAATACCGCAGTATTCCTGTCCTGGAAAATAAAACAGAATGTTCCAAAACTCCTGCTGATTTACAATGTACCTCAACAAACAGACAAGCTCGCTTTCCAAATTTGTCTTCCCTCTCCTGAAGTACTCCTAAAAAGCTTTATTTCAGGGAGACCGCCGGGCAGACAAGGCGCAAGCAGTTGCTCAAACAGCGGGGCACGTTTACCCCTATCGTTGTGTTTCCAAGCGTTGACATTTTGTGGTGGTTTTTTTTTTTTTAAGGCCTGCCAGGTGCAGTCAGGACAGTGCTGATTTGACTGTTTTGCAGTGAGATATTTGGCTTTTCCATCCTGTCCCACACATTTGTACCACGGGTCCATTTCTTCATAATTTATGTCCAGTTTACACAGTTGGGGGTGTAGGTATTGATTTTCTCCTTGTTCCTGAGCGAGTGCGTCTTCTACCGATACAGTACCTCAGCTCTGGCTGAGAGAGGGCACGAGAGGTACATTTTCCCCCACTGTGATGATCTTGTCTGAAGTGTTTCCTCTGTGCCATGTCTGTGTTGCGAAGTAAATTAGCCTTATCTTTAAGTCTTTGTCTACATGTATATGTTCAGAGAAGGCAAATGCTAAATACTGAGAGAAAACAGAAATGGTTTTCCTCACCTAAAACCCCCCCAAGGTGTCCCGTGTTTCATTTCTTCTCCCTTATGTGGTCCTGGCTTGATTGCCCTTGGTATATCGTCAGAGGGAGGGAAATGTATTGACCTGTTTCTTCCACCATTGTGAATATGCATGCACGACCTTGGCCTTCATACGACTGAGTAGAGGCATCCAGTATTCCTTCTCCGACCATGTCACTATTAAAGAGGATTCAATTTTGGGATGATTTTTATCTCTTCATTTGTTACTTTTTATCTAAGAAGGTAGGAGTGAGAATGGTTGCAATCAGTTTGGCAGCGCTGGGTTAGCTGAAATAAGATGTTATCTTGTAGTTAAGTAGCTTTTGGGTACATGTAGTCTGTTATTTGGAATTCTTCTGAAATTTAACCTATCCCTCCTCAATCCTCCAAAATCGTTCGGGGGGTTTTGGAGGATTTTGGATGATTGAGGGTGAATGACAAAAGGGCATGGCTGATTGCGAAGGATGTCATGAGTGAAGGTCGTGGGTTAGACCTTGAGTTGTTCTTGTTCAGTCATGCATAAATTCAGCCCAATATTTCTTTTGAATCAACTGCACTGCTCAAGAATGCCATTTGCACTGCCTCGGCATAATGACAGGAATTGCTAGAGGATTTTGAAGGATTGAGGCAGTAGGCACACCTCCAAGTAACATTTTCAAGAAACTTTGGAGGATTTCGGAAGAATCCAAGTTTTTCACCCGCAAATTGGAGGATTCTGGAGGATTAAGGAGGGTCCCTAGCAAAAAGGACCTAGGGGGTTAGGGATGAAGAAAGGACATTAAATGTACAAGGTCTTTAGTAATATACAAGGTCTGTGGTAATTACTAACGTTTGGTTGAAAATGCCTTTCTATGTGTGAAAATACGTGGAAGCAGCTACAACCTGTAGTGAAGTAATTTCCATGTCTGTATGTGATCGTGTTATGCACTGTGAAGGCCTAAATACACTGTAGATAAAAAAAACATTGCAAAGGTTTACATCATTTTTTATAATTTCCAGCAATACAAACAACTCACGAAACACAGCAGGGTGAACTGATTTCCTCTTTATCATATTTGTCATCTTTATCCGATAAAAGCATTTTGGGTTGAATTGTGAAGAAAAGCTCAAGGGCAAATGGAAGAACAAGCCAAATTACCGGTACAGTCACCTGATATGTTTTATACATGTACAGATGCACACGTGTACATGAGTATCACGAGTGCATGCATGGAATGGTTTAAGTACAGAATGATGACGGTTGTCATGGGCCATCTACAAGATGACATGATATTTCATACTTTGATTTGTAATTTAACAGGAAAAAAGACCAAAACTGTTGTAAAAAACGAGTAAAGTTTTACTGCTTGCTAAATGGGTATCAGTGGAATCATAGAGAAACTTGGCAGTACTTCTTACAATGTAATAGATACGTGTATTTGTACACATGTGCATAAAAAGCGCACATGGACATACATGTACCGGTAGTTTGCCCGGTACTCTAGGGACTGGCAACCTACTGGTACATGAATATGTATAAGTATACGTTCCTGCCAGAAATTGTTCTTCCTCATGAAATTACAATATTGTGTTGGGCAACTAAACTTCTTAATGGCCTGTGAAATATTAAGTACATGTACATACACATGTACATGTACCCAACTGCATCAGCTGCAGTGACTGTGGTAACGACAATATACATGTATTTGTGTTCAAGGTCTGATTTGTCTTTTTTGTGAGGAAGATGTTAAGTAGGTTCTAATCAAAGATCATATAACACCGCGTTGCGGCGCAAGACAGAGAACTTCACAGTGAATACGTTGTAATCACAACTTCACAAGGGCGCCATTTGAGCAAGCGATACGCCTGCGCAATACACATTAATGCATAGGTGCAGGCGCTGCGGCAGACACGTACACCTGGTGCGCCTGCGCCTAAGCATTACGGTGAACCACACAGGCATATCGCTTGCTCATATAGCGCCCACGGTAATTACACCTTTTGGGCAAAGTTATCCATCGCGCACCTTCGCTGCTGTACGATCTTTCATTCTAATTCCAAGACTGGGACTGCATACAATCCAGTCAACATTCAAACTCGGTTTTGGATGCACATCTGATGTCGTTTTTTGGCTGCGCAAAAATTTCCTTCCACAGGCCAGAAACATGGTGCTAACAGAAGAGTAGCTGATCCATGGGATTGGGAGGAGGGGGAGTGCCCTGGCACGTGTCTCCTCCCACCTTATTTACAGGTGGATTTGTTCTCTGTGGGAGGTACCACACGCTGTACTTTTCTCCTGGTGTTTTCTTTTGCTCACAACTTGTTGTTCTTTAAAATGATAGAAATTATCCCTCAAAATATGCACTGCTTGCATTTTCAGGCTGCCTGCATTTAGGGCTAACCTTTCTCCCCAAGTACAATACATAGGCACCACCCATTTTGTAAGTTTGGGCTTTCCCAGTGTGTAGAACTTACACGGACATTGTATACATCTACCTGTACATGTACTTATTGTACATGTCTTCGGAGATTCGTGGTTCCGGTCGGGAAGGGATAAATTTGGCAAGAAAAAAGGTAAATGAATCTGTCATTTGGACATGCAGAGCACTGCTGTGAATCAGCGGCATAAGCTGCGATCAGCCCCAGCCAGCGTTATCCTCGCACGCGTCATCAACATCAACTGCCACTTTGCCATTCAGCGGGATGCGTCATTCCAGATCTTACCCCTGCACCCCAGGGGTTGCGCTTAGGCCCTGTGTTCCCCTCCGGTGAACCTTGGATCTGCTGGACGGCTCCATGTGACGAAGGCCCGTCATGGATATTTATAGCTGTGAGATAATTATTTGATGCCCTCTCTGTGTACAGGAGGTTGAAGAGGGGAATTTATTGTTCGGTAACTTACTCTGGGTTTGATGAGATCAAGTGCATTGGGACGTTTATCATTTTGTTTACATAATTTACTAAAAATACCACTAATTACACAAACAGAAGTACTGAGTATATTTAACCCCAATGTTAAATTGAGGTGTGTAAATTGGGATGAGTCAGTGCACATGTTTATACATGAAATATATTTTTGTACATTTTTGCTTGAATTGAGAAAATATCAATTGACATCAGAGACCACATGTACAATGTACATGTACGTGTATCAATATTTGGGATTAAAAACACTTCCCCTCTTTGTAATGGCTGATGTACATGTACACGCATGTACGCTACATGTACATTTTGAGTCAGACTATTTTTTAGAAATTCATATTAGTATATGTGGCCAGTTGTGGCCAGCTAACCAATTATTGCATTGAATATGTTTTGTTGCAATGAATCAACACTGTTGGTTTATATCTTACTGGTAGCATTCGTAGTATCCTGTTTGTAATCGACAGTTACGTGTATCATGCCGTACATGAGTCATAGTTAACCACTGACTGCTAAACTACATGTACTCAAAGTTTTAAATAGGGCTTGGAAAGTCTATGCCTTGGACTGACTTTCCTGAAGGGCTTTGTCATGCATCTATCAAGTGTCCTCCTCTCCTTCTCCCTTGGCTCTTCCACCCAAGATGTGGGGATTGTCACCTTTGAATTAAAGGAAATCCCAACATCAGGTGCACTGTAGACTTG